TGGTGGGTCTTCAGACAGAAGTCTGGGGCGATTTTTAGCAGCAGTACCCCTGGGCCGTCAGAACACCATGACACACCCACTAGGCAGTTCCAAGTAATTGGGGAGGAATATTTCAGCAGCAGGATGGGTACCTTGAGACCATGAGTGACAAGTTTTTGGTCTTTTAAGGGGTTATTTGAAACTCTTTTCCAAAAAAAGGACAAAGGTTATCCTTACTCTTCCCCCTTGGTTTTCTTCCCTCCAAAGCCCAAGGCCCTGAACCTCCTACAACTTCATCACTGCTTTTCCTTCTCTCTTCGCCTTGGCTTCTCAGAAACTCAGAGCCAAACGTACAGCCCATGGCCTTCCAGGCCCTATGAGGGACGTGCTGCATAGTACCTCTTCAGGTGAGCGGATTTTGCGCCACATTTCCCTTTCCCTGGGATTTCTCGTCTGCTCTTTTTATTTCTTTATTTCTTTATTTCTTTATTTTTTCTCGTCTGCTCTTGAAGTGGTAATAGACACACCTCTGTAGGGCAACTCAAGTCCTCTCAGAGGTGAGCCAGGTGTCTTTCTTTTGCATAAGAAAAAATTGCAGAATGTTCTCCCTACCTCCCCACCCCCTCCAAACCTGAACCCATTTTGTTAATATTAAGCTTAATTATTTTGAAGTGTAGTTTAATTTAAACCCAAGTTACTGTTAGCATTTCATAAGTAATAAAGTCATTTTCTACCTGCTAATGAGGGGTAAAAATAAACCTATTTCTCAACACAGTATTGATACCGTGTCATAAAAACAAACAAGAGAAAACACTCCGTATAGGAACTTGAGGCCATGATCTTCTTCTTGTCTTCATCTCCTCAGATCTGTGCCTTTGTGGTGACCCTGACTTCGAGCTGGGGGCCGTGGCCCAGAAGCTACTAAGGGTCCCAAGGGAAAAAAATCCCCAAAGGGCTGCTCTTCATAGAGTGACCAAGGGCCAGGCTTTGGGATGGGAGAACCCCTCATGCATTCCTTTGTTTGCTGGCCCATTCAATCAACCAAGTACCTTTCGGGTTAGGCACTGTGCTGAGCAGGGGGGACCCTTGAACAAGATGAAGAAGCGTCGGGCCCCACCGCCAGCCCCAGACCTAACCTCACAGCACGGGGAGGCCACGAGAAGCAAGGGAGCTACCAAACGAACAAGGTCATTCCAACCTGTGCTAATGTAACAAGGAGCAGAGGGAGGGGGAGACGGACACATTAAGAAAGGCCGCTCAGAGGAGGTGATGTCTGAGCGGGCCACAGAAAGGGCAGGGGAAGCGAAAGTCAAGGAAAACGACAGAACAGGAAAGAATACGGACCTGGAAAACGCAGGGGTATAAAGGCTATCGAGGATGCCTGCCTCCACCTGAAGTTTCAGGGTAGAAAGGCAATTTTCAGGATGCCCGGGGAAACTGTTCAGAGTCCCCGCCTATAAACCTATGGGGACAACCCAATGTCACCCCCCTCACACGAGAGGGAGAAGAGGACAAAACATAGATCCTGACAGTGGGAGACCCAAAACAGAGAATAAAAAGTGGGGGTAAAAAACGAGCCAAGAACCCCATTCTTCTAACACAAACCAGTGGCCTTGTGCAAGGGGACACTGCTGGGACGTGGGACACCCGGGGAACCGTCAGCCAGTCCCTTGGATTCCAAGGGTCTGGTCCCTTCCAGACTTTGCTGAAGACCCCAGGCCCCTGCCCCAGACCACGCCGGAGGCTCTGGGTCCTTCACTATGCCGTCTGGAGGACCATGCTGGGAATCGCCAATGATCTTTCATTAGCTGATGAGCTAAAGCTCTTCTCTCTGCTTCTGTCTCGAGATAATGCCATCCAGGGCCTGCCTCGGAAGAGAGACGAACCCACTTGATAAACAGCAAGGGCTTCTCGCCCCATCCACGAGTGGGAGGCGCTTTCAAAGCCTTCAGAAAATAGTCACCGACGCCAGCAAGCTGGGGACACTCATTTGGGGTCTGCGGGCGACATCTGAACGCCAGGATCCCACAGTGACAAGCAGGGAAGGCACAAAACTCTACCTCGTCACCTTTTTAATGAGTAAAATCCTCTGGCTGCTGCCGGGGCCCTCAGAGACCTGCTATTAATGAGCGCTCAGAATAGACTGTGCCTGTTTTATCCATGTACGGAGGCCTGGGAGAGACACTTCAATTTCCATTTTACATCTGCTGCCACGTTCAAGTGGCTCCTTAAGGGCAGGAAAACACTTGGCAAATTCTGTCTTTAAAGAGACACATTCAAAGAGAGCTTTCGCTCCCCACAGCCACATTCTATATGTGAATGCTTTTCAATTTGCAAAGCATATATTTAGATTATGTATATGGAAACCTGGTAGGCAGCCGGCCTCAGCTGCACACACAGCTCCCCCTGCCCCTTGGGGTGGCAAGAAGAGGGCTTCCGGTCTGGTCCTCCGATTCGGTGCCTTCACTCACTGAGAGGGGGACAAGGACAGCCTCCGTGTCGTCCCTATTTGTGAACCTTGGTCCTAGGCAGCAGCCCCTGCGGCTCCTAACGTGGTAAGCCCCACTGTCCGCACAGGGTTGTGCGTGAGCGGAGATCTGGGAAGGGGGCTGGCCCCAGGGCGTGAGCCACGAGGGGCCCAGAAAGGAGGTGTGACTGACCTGAGCCCACAGGGGAGCTGGGGGGATGGGGCGAGACCCCGGCCTGGGTCTTTCCAAGGCTACGAGAGGGTGTTGAGTAGAGGAGAGAGGAGGAGGAGGTGAAGGCAGGGAGGAACTCCGGACCACAGCATACACCTGGAGGTCTCAGCGATGGCCCCCTTGTCCCGGGAGCCACTGCCTGCAAGGGGGGTGAGGGTGAAGTTGGGGAATGCACCCAGCGTCAGGGACCGGGGACAGTGTAAAGTACAACCTCGGGCTCTTGCATTTACCACCTGTCTCAGTTCAGCCACTATCGCAGAAATACCACAGTCTGGGGGCTTAAATAGCAGACAGCCGGGGTGCCTGAGTGACCTAGTGGGCTAAGCGTCTGCCTTGGGCTAAGCTTCTGCCTTCGGCTCAGGTCATGATCTCAGGGTCCTGGGATCGAGCCTCCCGTCGGGCTCCCTGCTCAGCGGGAAGCCTGCTTCTCCCTCTCCCTCTGCTGCTCCCCCTGCTTGCTCCCTCTCTCTCTCTCTCTCAAATGAATAAATAAAGTTTTTTTAAAAATAGCAGACATCTCTTTCTTTCAGTTCTGGAGGCTGAAGTCTGAGGTCCTGGTGCCAGTATGGTCAGTTTCAGGTGAAGGCTCTCCTCCTGGATCGTAGATGGCTGCCTTCTCACCATGTCCTCATATGGCAGGGAGAGAGAGCTCTGTGCCCTTTACCCACTTATGAGGGCACCAACCCCATCATGGGAGCTGCACCCTCATGGCCTCTTCCAAACCTAATTACCCCTGAAATGCCCACCTCCAAGCACCACCACACTGGGGATTAGGGCTGCAACATACAAATTTGGGCCGGAGGAGGGGGACACAAACATTCAGTCCATAGCACCACTGTGTGATCTTGGGCAAGTTGCTTACCGTCTCTGAGCCTTCACTTTTCATCTGTAAAATGGGATCAGCATCCCCCTGGCGGTGGGTCTGGGGATGCTGTGACCTGCACTTGGACAGTGCCTGGCACTCAGGCAGAGCGAGCATAGTGGTCTGCATTTACTTCTATAGCCCCGTGATCATCAGAATCCTCCAGAGTGAGAAACCCATTCTCCAAGCAACCTCAAAAGACCCACAGGATAAATGCGTCGTGAAGAGAAGAAATCCAGAGAAATCAAACTTATCCATACTTTGAAAAGGGACGATGTGGGATGAAAGCCGCCGACAGCGTGAATTACTGTTGATTTCATCATTGTTGCCATCCCCAGAACAAACAGCCCCAGAAAGCACAGTGGTTGTAACCCTAAGCCTGTGGCATCCCAGGGCATTTCCAATTATCTCAAAGTGTGTTATAAAATGCTCACCAAAGATAACTTGAGTTTTCTCTCATTCAAAATGCCACCATTCTCCATCATCAGCACTTTGGCAAGTGGGAGAGGGGGCACAGCATCGTGCTGTGGCAGAGCGTGCCTGCCGCTTCCCTAGTACCCATCCTCCCTCACTCATGAGCATCTAGAGTCTGGAGGCGATGATGTGCCCACTTGCAGAATCTGCTTCCCAGCCTCTCTTACAGCCAGATGTGGCCACATGACAACATTGTGGCCATGGAAGCAAGAGAAACTCATACAAGGAATTCTGGAAAGGTTCTCTGAAAGGGAGAAAAGACAACTAGAGAAAGACCCTTTTGCTTTACCCTCTTCTTGCTTCCTGCTGCCTGGAATGTGGACATGATGGCTGGAGCTGCAGCAGGCATTTTGAAACACTGAGGACAGAAGCCAAATGTGGGGAATGGCAGAGCACAGGAGAGACAGAGCCTGGGCCCCACAGGATCATGAAGCTGCCACACCAGCCTACCCAGGACTTCTTGTACATCAGAGGGGAAACTAGGCATTTCAGCCTTTGTTATAGGAGTTTTCTGTTAGGGACAGCTGAACTTAATCCTAATGTATATACTTAGTTACTAGAGGCTGGTGAGTGTGTGGAAGAGGAGCCCTGGGTCCCTGGCTACCGATCCGTCCTAGGCAGGTGACACAGGTGGGAGGTGGAGAGGAAGGGGATGGAACATGTGCAGGATGAGGGTCCAACAGCACCTCCTGGCTAGTGCCTACTAAATCCAGCTAGTGCTGGACCCCAGGTGAGGGATCCATCTCTCCCTGTGTCACCTTCTGGAGCCCTCTAGCCTAAGCCAGAGTCTAAAAGGGGACAGGGTGCTGCCACAGGAAAACAGCCTAAGTCAAAATGAACTCTGGTTCAAGCCCTACCTCTGACTTAGCAGCGGTGCAACTTTGGTGAAGCCACTTCACCCCCGGGCCTCAGTTTCCTCCTCTGAAAAATGAGATTCACGGTAACACCCACCTCAAAGGGTTATGTAGAAAGTGTAAACACAGTACCTGGAATTCAGCCCTCAGAAATGATAGCCGTGATTATTATAGATGAGTTGTGAATTGACATTATTTTCAGAGGGAGGTTTTGGGGCAAAGGCACATCCTCCCTGGAAAGGCAGGAGGGAGCAAGGCTCTGGCCAGTGGCAGTGGTCCATTCTTCCCAGGTAGGGTGAAATCGGCTCGGGTAGCACAAACGTCACTCCCAACTGTCTGCGAGCTAGAAAGAAGACAGAACCGTGAAGGAGGAGACCCAGCTTCCGTCACTGGCTTCACCACTAATTAGCTGTGTGACTTCAGGTGAGTCACGGCCTCTTTCTGAGCCTCAGTTTCCCCACCCCCACGAAATGAGGATGCCAGCTCCCATGTCTGAGTCCCCTCCCAGCATCAAAGTGCAGCAATCCCACGACACAGAGAGACTGGAGAACCAGGATGGAAACAGCCAATCCACCGAGTTTGCCCCCAGCGTCCTCAACCCTACCATCCATTCTCAGATATGCTTTCCAATTGTATTCCTGTCATTTTGAAGGCCTGATTCGGGAAGAAGCATTATTCCTGCAGACACTAAGGCTTGATCTGAGGAGAGGGGTAAGAAGAGATTTGAGAGAGCAGTTTGCCTCCCTTTATGCACACCTGATGAAAAAATTCAGATGTGCAAACCCAATAAATTGGAAGATTCTCAGTTTACAAAAAAGAATCATCTAGAAATGCAAACAATTTTGCTCATCTGAGTCCTGCTCATAGGCATCTGTGCATTGATGATGGGAAGGAAATCATGCTGAGTGTTAGCTACCTAGTTTGAGGCCTTAACCACATGGTTAACATATATCACTAACTCAGTCCTTTCCAGAAGAATCCCATCAGGCAAGCACTCCCGTCCTCATTTTGCTAGCAGGATAGAGGGACAGTAAAGTTACATGTTTTTTGCTTAAATTAAGGTCATGCTGCCAATCAGAGATTGAGCTGGGATACTAATCTTGAGCTAATCTAGGCTGTTACCATCACACCTTCACATCCGAAAGAGAAATAGCACAGATGGGATGATGCCCAGCAACAGAACAGAATTTCATCCTAAAATCAGCTGGCGGTGGCTGTCTGTGTGACCTCAACGCCGTCCCAGAATCTCTCTTTGCTGGTGTTTTCTCATATACAGGTGGGCACTGGAGAGATCCGAGCCCCACTCTGCAGGATCTCCAAGTCGTCAGGATGCCCCGTCCCACTCCATCGTCAATATACACCGAGGCTGCAAAGCTGAGAGCACACAGCCGTGGAACAATGCCCTGCTTGGGAACCACCGATGGGACGGACAGATGGCTGGCGACCTTGACTTCACATGTCTTCTCTTCCCTGCCCACCCCTGACACCAACTCCAGAACCCTGTGGGTCCCTCCTCAGTTTCCAAACCCAAGCAGATCTGCTTACAAACCGGAACGTGTAACACGGAATATTTGGGATAACTGGGGGTCTCTCCAAATGTCCACCCAAGTGCCATTCTAGAGACTCTGTTTACCCAACAGTGTCGTTAGGAGGTGGGGAACACTGGCTTGCATTCACATTTACCTGCATCAGCCATGCGGTGCCAACGGATGTAACTGCCCCATGGCATCCGCTGAGACTTTTGCAATATAGAGACGGTGTTGCCATAAAGAATTTAATAGGCCAGCAACTGACACTCAAACTCTTTGGATTCACCAATGAATCTAATGCCCAGGTGTTGCCAGCAGCATTTATTGTCTCATAATTTGATTTACTTTTTTTCCAGGCTGCTCCAAGTGCCTGCAAGTAGGGGCAAAATGGCTGATGTCTCCAGATGCCACGGAGGCTAATAAAGCTTACTGTGCTCCCAGCATGCTCTCTGCTGTCAGAAACCGGCAATTAACTTAATAGGGTTCTTGAAATGGAGTCAATCCGGGAAATGTGGCATGTGTTGACACTCTCCCGCTGATCCAAGCAGCCTCCCACCATTGATTTGCAGGGTCTGTTTGCTATTTGAATTATTTAGGAGCTTGTTATGTGAATTAAAAAGCAGCACTTTGCAGCATTAAGTCTAATATTTTATGATCTTCAATTGATTAGATGGGCTTTCAGGATTACATGGAAAGGTTAAGATAAAACACGCCTCAGACAGGCAGCGCTCACCAGCCTGCTTCGCTTTTCAAAAACCTAGAGGAAAACCCAAAAGGAGCCTGCCTCTCTTGTCCCTCCCAAATGAGTCCTCGGGAACCCGTGTTTGGACCATCAAAGAGCTTTTTCACCCCAAGGATACCAGGTGCCCTGGCTTCTCAGGACCGAAGGAGGGTGGCCCCCCATTCCTCCACCTTTCATTTATGTCTTTCTTGGCACAAAGACGCCACCGATGATGTGATGCCCAGAGGGACTGCATCCCAAGCCTGGGCCTGCAAAAGGAAAGCCCTGCTGTGGGTTCCCAGCCACTCGATTGGACCTGGATGGGCACTGATGCCACAGCTGCCTGTGGCCAAGGGTGTGTCCAACACGCGTCCCTCGACCATGAGTGCCAGTTCATGCTTTCTTTGCCCTACCAGCTCTCACCACCCTCTCCCTTGGCCTATGACCATAGTTTTCCGCTGGGCTTCTCCCAGCACCTCCCTTGCAATCCACCCTACATTCTGCAGCCAAAGCTACTTCCGGCGATGAAACTCCCCTGTTCAGAAACATTCAGTGGCTCCCCATTGCCATTTGTTAAGTATATATACTCATCAACCTGAGCCCAGACTCTCTTTCTAGCCTCGTCGTCCATTGCCCCCATATCAATCAACCAGACTGAGCTACTTATTATTCTTTAAAAATACTTTTTTGCTTTCTCAACTCTCAAGCTTTGCTCATGGCATTCACTTGGTGCGTTACGCCTCCCTTCCTCACCTGCTGAAACTCTACTAGTCCTTGATAACGACAAGAGTAAATAAGTACATAACATAGAGCTTCCTATATTCCAAGCACTTTAAATATTATTTAATACTTATAATCCTGTTAGGTTGGTACCTTTATTATTTCCATTTTATAGATGGCAAAATTGAGGTTCAGGGAAGTTAGCTAATTTCCCCAAAGTCATTCAGTGAGCTGGGGTTTAAAACCAGGTAGACAAAGCTCATCTCAATCCCACTGCCTTGGTAAAGCCATCCCTGCCTTTACCTAGGTGCCCTTTTTCCTCCAAGCAGACTTCTTCAGGCAGCAGGTACACGTACACGGCTCTCTTCTCTGCCAGGATGCTGATGCCTTGGCACAGTCCGGGCCTCTCTTGTATCACTGCAGGGTTTAGGACCCAAGTTTGCACACAGTAGGTGCTGACTCAAGCAGGCTGGCAACCTGACCACAGGGTGGCTCCGCACCCCATAGTCACAGCCCCAGAAGAGTATTTACCTGGTCCCTCTTGCACTTTCCAAGAGGTGGACAAAGGCATTGCCAGGTGCCAAGTGAGTGACAGTGCAAGCTCTAAAGAGTGACTTGAATTTCAATCCAGGCACCACCTCTTTTAACCATGCAACCTTGGGGAAAAGAGTAAATTAGCCTCACTGAGCTAGGTGTTCTCACCTCTAAACGGAAGTAAATAGTCCACACGCCATAAGGAAATTATCAAAATTAAATGCAATAATGCATCAAAAGCACTTAGGATACATGGTCCCTAGCACATATTAGGGGCTTAGAAAAAGTCTGTAGTCATTACCATTGGATTGACCCCAGTAGAGTCTCTAAACCACCTCCAGCAGCTCTGGGCCCTGGGCCCTGCCTCTCTATACCTCCAGTTCCTCACCTGGAACATAGGCTATTTCAAACTCACCTGATAGGATTAGGGGGAAGGATTTAATGAAATAACAGATGGATCTGGAACAGAACAAACATTCAATATATGAGTAATAATATCTTATTTTTAATTAATATAACCTTCAGCCAAGCTGAGAATATTTACTTTTCTAGAACACCATAAAGATGGTCCCTGACCCCCAGAATCAACCACCTTGTGCAAAACACATGATGTCTGCCTCATTCCAACTCCGCAGCAGGCTGTGAGGAGAAAGGGGATAGAAGCCACCCAGGGGGCACTTATTTGAACAGGGGAGGCAGGACAGAAAGAGCTGATCTCCCCCAGGGCAGGAGGAGGGCAGGGCTGCATGCCTGGGGGCCCTGAGCAAAGTCCCAGGGACTCAGCTGGGAGGAGCTGCTGCCTGGTCCTGTGACCTGTGACCCATCAGATCTGTTGGATGTGCCACGAGGATGACAGCAAGCACTTTGGCAGCTGCAGCATGGCAGAGAGCGTCTGTGTGATTAGCGAGGCCTTCATAGGAGACCTTCTCCCTGGGAGGCTAGGCCGTCACTAAAATCCCTTAAGTAAGGTGTCACCTTCGGAACCTCTCTGCTGCAGGGAGGCCCTGAAACCAGAAAGACGTTCCCAGGACCATTTAACTGCCACATTCTGCTGGATCTTATTCTTTAAGGCAGTCGAGGTCTTCACCTTGGGCCATGTGGATGAGCTTAAGAGGGCTGGGACCCAGGAAGTCTCTCAAATATGTACAAAATCTTACATGAAGGTATGCAGCTGTTTCTACTAGGTAGAGGTTCTATACGATTCTGTATACGTCAGGAGAGACTAACTGCTCACTGCAGTAACAACCCCTAAGTCTCAATGGCTTAATGCAGCGTGTCACAGTCCAAGCAGGCTGATAAAGCGTAGTGGTGAAGAGCAGGGGCTGGCAGGGGCTCCACCATCTCCACCACGTGGCCTCCGAGGTCACCGTGAACACTGACATCCTGTTGGCAGATGGAGGAGAAAATGAGCATGAGTGATCTTACAAGAAACTTTAGGGGCCAGGCCTGGAAACAGCCCACGTTACTCCTGCTCACATTCCATTGGCCAGAACTTGGTCACATGGGTCCCCTGACTGCAAAGGATGCTGGGAAATGTAGTCTTCCTGGGTACCCAGGAGGGAAGGAAAACTGGTTTTCCAGAATGTATCTCAGAGTCTTTCAAAAAGGACTTGTATGGGGGGGAAGAAAGGCAGAGTATAAAGAAGACTAATAAATACCATTTGCTTTATGTACATTATTCATTTAATCCTAACTATTAGTAGCAGATTTTTTTATTTTATATCCATTTACTAGATAAGGAAACTGAAGCTCAGAAGAGTAAGTCACTTGCAAAGGATCACACGGTAATGAATGGTGAAACCCAGAATATACCTCAGGCTCCTCTCTTGTCAACATGCAGTTTTAAAGGCACTCCATTCTATGACTTCTGTGTATTACATATTTTGAGTGGGAAAGCAAACGTGAATGGAGAAGATAATTTTGAGCTTGTATTTTAGGGTCAGCTAACATTTATGGACTGCTTACTCTGTGCCAGACACCATTTAAAATGCTTTTCCAGGGCGCCTGGGTGGCTCAGTTGGTTAAGCGACTGCCTTCGCCTCGGGTCATGATCCTGGAGTCCCTGGATCGAGTCCCACATCGGGCTCCCTGCTCGGCAGGGAGTCTGCTTCTCCCTCTGACCCTCCCCTCTCATGTGCTCTCTCTCATTCTCTCTCTCTCAAATAAATAAATAAAATCTTTAAAAAAATAAAAATAAATAAATAAATAAAAATAAAATGCTTTTCCATGTATTGCATAATTAACTCCTCCCACTGACCTTATAAGATCATCTAGCTATTATCTCAGCTTTATGGATGAGAAAATGGAGGCACAGAGAAGTGACACAATTTTCCCAAAGCCCCACAGCTAGTAAGTGGGGGAACGGGGACTCCATCCCTGGCAGTTACTCCAGTCCCATAGGTATGCACTGCCCCCACCAAGCCGTGCGTACACCCATTCAGGGTGCAGTTGCTCTAGGCCACCCCATGAGATCAAGGCAAATAGAGACTGTGTATCCTTCATCCTTGAGCCCCCACCATGCAGCCCGGTCCTGCCCCTCTCCCTCCAAAACCATAGCCTGACAGTGGGAATCCTCCCAAGGACATGTCAACACACCAGCAGAGTCCCCAGCCACCCGTTATCTGGGAGCACCATGACAGAGCCCATCAGCCCATGTAGGGTCGCTGCTGTAACCCCACGGGGTGGCTACCCTCCCCTTTCCAACCCCATTCAATCCACTTGATGGTTTCATGAAGGTAGATCTTTTACTATCTCCAACCACTGCGTCATTTAAGCCAAAATAAATTTAGTTAATGGGGCCAGAAGCAGGTCTGGGGTGAACATGGAGGGGAACGAAGGCAACAACATCTCTCCTCACACCACCCTGGCCCTCCTAGGGATTGTTTCCCCAGGGAGAGGTCCTGGGGATGGCAGATCGTGTCCTCACTTTGCGCCTTGTACAAGGCCAAGGTGTCGACCTCAAGCTCTTGCACAAAAGCAGCAGGCTGGTGGGTGGGTGTGTGGAGGGGATACAGAATCAGCCCGGAGGCACTCAACAGAGGCCTTGTGTGGTGACGGACCCCCAAGACTGAGGAGGGCTGAAGGATGTAAAACACCAAGGCTGAAGGGGGGGAACCTTCAGACAAATGTAGAGCTAAAGCCAAACGTTCAGAAGCAGAAGGGATGAGGGCAGCCCCCCTCCTCCATGCTGGCTCCACGCTGGGCCCTGTGGAGCTCTGGCAAAGACACCAGGACTGGAGTCGGCCAGACTTGCTTCAAGGCCGGCTCCTCCATTCATTAGCCCATTGTTTTACCTCTCAGTCTCTCGGCCTGTAAAATGGGTATAATGTCTGTCCCACCTCACAGGGCTGTTGGAAGGCCTGGGGACTTGAGCACATGAAGCACCAAGCACAGGGTCTGGCATGAAGCCAAATCCAAGTGTTGGCCCGGAGGGCCTTTGAATACGGTCCTCTTAGAAACAAACAAACAACAAGTAACAGACTCAATTGTCTAGTCATCTGTATCACCAAACAAGACACCTCATTATAGTCATTTGTTTTGCAGTTAAAATAATCACCTCTTCATTTGTCCTGGGCCGTGCAGCAGGATCGATGAGGTAGGCCAGTCACTTGTCCCCCGGCCCACCGTGCCCAGCAGGGACCAGTGCCCACAGAACCAAACACTTCTGAGGTCAGCAGTTCGCCCTTTACTGCACTCGTCCCCGGACACGATCTTCATTAATGCTCGCAGTGGCCCTGGGAGGCAGGTGGAGCCGACCTCATGACCCCTTCTACAGACAGGGAAATGGAGACTCCCCAAGGCTTTCAGTTAGCAAGTAGCAGCTCCAGGGCTCTAAGTCTGGTCCTCTGGCTCCAAACGCAGGGTGTTTTTTGGCAACACCGAAGGGGCTCAGCACGCTCTCGGCTGCCTGAGGACTGACAGGCGGGCGCCAGGGTTCAGAGCATGGGCCCTGGAGCGAGGCTCTATGGGTCCCCATCCCAGCTGTGCCATTTACTATCCCTGAGACCTTGGGCAAGCTGCGGGACCTCTCTGTGTCTTATCTATGAGATGGAGCTGATGTCACTTCCTCCCACTTAGAGTGCTGAGATATGTGTAAAGCCATGAAAACGGGGCCTGGTGTAGACAGTAAGAGCCATTAGGCATCACAACTGATACCCTTCGTGGGGAACCACACCCGCTCACCTACCTTCTCTGTTTTCTTCTGATGCTCCGTGCCCCTGGATGGCCGAAGCTGTCTTATCCATCCTGGAGATGAAGACAGAGGGTTAGTGTGGGGTGGTGGTTAGGAGCGCAGGCTCTGGTTCTAAGTCCAGACCCCGTCACTCCCTGGCTGTGTAACCCTGGTGAACTCGGTGTTTGTGCACTCTGAGCCCGTTTCCTTCTGCAGAAAAGGGGATAATAATAGAATCTGGTTCATAGAGCTATAACTCAGTAAGTGATGGAACACACACAAAGCACCTAGAACAGTTCCTGGCCCGAGGGAAGGGCTAAACAAGTATGAGCTATTATTGTATCGATGTTCCCAGCACCCATCACTGTGCTCAGTCCAAAGGAGCTAAGCAATCGGTTTTGGATGCATGAATGAGTTGAGTGTTTGTGCTTCTTGGTCTCTGGATAGCCAGAGGTCCTCAAATTCTTATCCAAAGATATGACCCTGGGATGGGAGTTGGCCACCAAGGATGGTGACCGTGTCCGAGATACTCATTATTTATAATGACCTCACCGAGTAAATAAATAGAGTGAGAGGGGGAGCCAGGCCAGGCCTTCCAGAAATACTCTGTCCCTGGCTCCAGCTTGGGTACGGAGACACAGTGACCCTAGCCAGTTGACTCATCTCCCCAACATAAGCTGAGCTGCTGAGGCAGCCCCACCCAGCCTCTCTCGGCCCTCACTGGCTCCTTCCCATGGTCTGGCAAGCCCGGCAGGAGCCAGTCTACTAGAAGCAGCTGGTTCTGGGGAGGAGGAAAAGCAGGTGTGAATCTGTGATTAATGCCAAGAGGGACCATCAAAGGAGCAGGAAAGTTCTGGCTGGGTTGATGGAGGACAGAAGGGCAGTGCCCAGTGATGTAGTCACTGCGGGGGTTTGGGGGGTGACAATGAAGGGCAGGTAGCCTGAGATGAGGATAGGCATTGCTGCTCTGTGGGGTGGAGGTCTGTAGAGTTCCCGGGCAAGTAGGGAAGAAATCAGGACTGGGAAGAAAATCCAGAAGGCCCCTCCATCAGGAACTCCCAGGATCAGGTAGCCATGGGGAGAGCTCAAAATAGACTGGCTCCAACCTCAGGGTCAAAACTAGTCAGTGTAGAAAGATGGTGACCCTGAGAAACGTCTCTAAATGACACCCTTCTTGAAAACCTCGATCTCTTTCAGAAAATTATCTTTTTAATTAAAAAAATAGAACTTCCATGCTGACAATTTCACTCATTGAACAAGAGAACGAGGCACTTAGGTATGATGTGGTTCAACCACTCTGATGTACAGGTCAGAAGATGTGACTCCATCCATCCATCTACAGTTTTTCCTGAGCACCTACGACAGAGCAGACACTGATCAAGGAGCTGGGACCTGCAGAGAAAAAGACCAATGAAGTCTCTATCTCACAGAACTTAGAATTTGGGGAGGAGACAGACAATAAACACAAAGCAAATAGAGAAAAACATTCAGATCAGGATTAGATATTAGGAAGAAAACAAAGAGCTTTGTAATAGCCAGGGGTGGGATGGGAGAGCCAGAGGGTCTTGAAGATCTTTCCGAGGTGACAGCTGAGCTGAAGCCTAAAACAGTAGCCAGGACAAGAACAAGGGAAGAGCTCTGCCTAGCAAGGGCAAGAGGCCCTGGGGCAGGGACGCATTTAGGGAGGTCCAAGAAAAGGGAGACCGTGCAGGTGGCTGAGATGGAGTGAGACCCGCTAACACGTGTAGACACGATACTTTGCATCCGGCACCATCCTGGCCCTGACCGGCAGTTCATTACGTGCCCAGAAGGACCCTTGAGGGTAGGGCTCCATTATCAGCTCCATTTAGGTGGCTGAGACTGAGGCCAGAGAGGTTAAGTAACCTGCCCAGAGTGACCCACTGAGGACAGGGCAGGCAGGACTCCGCCTCTGACACCTCTGACAAATCCAGAACTCACTGGAGCAGACCCCAGGCAAGAGCGAGAGGACACAGCCCCTGTGGGCCTCAGCCGGGAGTTCGGGTTTTGTTCAAGTACAAGGGGAAGTGACCAGCTCACACAATATGTTAGTGGTCAGTTCAATGACTACTGGCGCCCACCGGGTGCCTGGCGCCCAGCCCCATCCCAAAGCCCCCTCCTGCGCCCCAGGCTGCCTGCGGTGAGCCTGCCTGCGGTCGGGACACCCGCCAAGCGCCCCTCTTCAAGCGAACCCCACCAGCGCCCCCGTCCACCCCCCTCACACCTTCCCGGCGCGTCTCCCCCACCCCCGCCGGGGCTCCCCCCGGGTCTCCCTTCCGACCCGAGCGCCCCGGGTTTGGGGGCGAGAACTGGCGCTCTGCGCGCGGAGCGGCTCTGCTCCCGGGCCCCTCGGACCGCAGGCGCGCCCGGGGCCGCGCGGAGCCCAGCCCTCCAGCGCCGCGCCCCCTCGGGGCTCGCACAGCCGCCTCCCCGCACCCTCGCTCGGCCACGCCGCCTCCTCCGGGAGCCCTCGGGGCGCCTCTCCGGGAGGCCGGCACGGCCAGGCCACCGGGAAGCCTTTCTGCCCTCAACTCGGCCGAGCACGTCCCGCTCCGTAGGCCGGCCCCGGGGGCCCACCCGGCCCAGGGTACCCACGCGGGGGCGGGGGGGGGGGCGCCCCGGCCCGTAGCGCGCAGACGTGCGGGCACCTCGGGGGCGGGGGGGGTGGCCCGGGGCGGCCCCGGGCTCCGTGACCCCCGCGCCGCCGCCGAGACACCGCACGTTGCATCCCCGAACCTCCGCAACCGGAGGATTGCCAGCCTCGTGGCGGCGCGGCCTGATTGGCATGTCCCCCCTTGGCAGGGGTGGGGACCGGGGAGGGCTATTGTGCACAATTGCTGTTTTTACTCCTGCCATCATTAATTCAACTACTGACAGAGAAAGGAGGGTCCGCCGCGGCTTTGTGTCACGCACTCACTGTAATTTACTTGAAAAGAATTAAATCACAATTACCTGCCATTCGTTTTGCATAAAACGAGCTGTAAGGAGCTTGCCATCGCTGAGCGCTTGGAAGGTCAACAGCCCCATTGTTGCCATATTAGAACAATATTTCTCAATTCGAAACTTAAAACATTCGAATTAGCAGCTTTGTTTGACTACGGTGGCCCACGGATAGGCAAGGCTGACCCCCCACCTCAGACTCCAGACGTTACAGTTAACAAGCATAATTTTCATTCATTTGAGTCTAGACCGATCTTTCAAAATCGTTGCTTTTATTGAACAAATGTCCCTCCCAAATGTTGGAAAGGAAAACGTCACCTTTTATCTGTTACGTAGCCCGGTTGATAAATTATCTAAATGCCATGAAAATTCCTCTTGCTGGAGCTAAAATCAGAGCAAACTGTAATTAACTCACTTGAGATTTGTTTAAATGTCCAAAGAAACCACACTGTTCTCAAATAAAGTTACTTCTGTTCTCATTTCTCCCCTTTCAGATATGGTCATCAGGTAAACATGACTGATTAGCTTTCCAACCGTTTTTCAAGTGTATTTAAAATATTCAATTCTGCAAAATTACATCACCGTGAACCTGTGTGTTCAGCAAATTTGACGCCAGGCTGGGTTTTAACAACTTCTGTAAAAGTAAACTGCTGCTTTGAGTGAGCTGTAGTTTCCATTAACATTAATAGTTTTTCAGTAACAAAATGTAACTGTTCAATCAAGCTTGAATATTAAAAGGAACCCAGTTACTAATTGTAAGAACTCTGGAACCATCAGGAAAAACAGCAAATACAAAAATACAATTGGTAACAGGGACAGTTGTGTGCAGGGAGAGTAACATATTACAGCAAATTTCTGCATTTGAAAATAAAGAGAAGTGACAGAAAATAAGGTTTAAATTAGAAAAGATGAAAGACCAGAAAGGCAGAATTCTAAAAATCTGAGTGATAAAAAAAAACAAAACAAAACAAGCTGAGGTGCAGATTTAGTGCAGAGAATAATTAAAATGTGAAATAAGAAAACTTACAACCTAGAAAAGCAAGTCAGAAAAGGAGTAAAAACACATTTGCTACTGTTAACACTGGATTTTTCTAATTTTAAAAATGCAATTTTGTGATTAAAATGTTATTAGTATTTTAAGAGGTTTTTTTTTAGAGTGAAAACTGCTAGTTGATTTTTTTTAAAACGGGTGGCCTTTTCCTTTAAAGAAAATATATTTTATTGTCTGTTCCCTTTTATTTTTTTAATGAATGTGAAAATTAAAATGTTGACTTTGATTTTTAGTGACTTAAACATTTTTTAAGTTATTTTTCCTTTTGTGTGTGTGTGAAAGAGAGAGAAAAGAACCGTTTGGCTTCAGCAGAAAACAAATTACAAGTGGATCAAACCAAGGACTCAACTCTATTTTCATGACTGGGTTTTTGAAGAATAATCCATAGAGATGGGGGAGGAAGGGATTCATCAGGCAAATGAAACAAAGTCCCTGATCTGTATTACTATTCTGATATCACCTCCTGGAATATCGGCAACATTTTAAGTTCCAGCCTAAGCCATGAATTCCTTCAGAACAAATCAAATGTCTTGAAAGAATATTTCTGTTTGAAAAGGAATTAAGCTCTCCTGAAAGAATTTTAAAGGTTGTGATATTCACAGTCTGATAAAGCAGCACCTTTAATGAAATTCTAATTAGCAATTTCATGCACTTTGCTATTAGTCATATCAGATTAGTGCACATTTTCACAGCCTTCCTTTAATTAAGTGCACTTATTCCAAGTTTCAAACACTTTCCTTATAAGATGAAAACTGTGCTGAAATGTTATTTAGTAAACAGAGGAAGTGTGAAAGCATAGGTGTGTGCGTATACATGGGCGGACATTTTTAACTGTCTACAAATTTTTTTTACAACCTTAGAGTTGATGAACTCAGGTTTTTCTTCCTTTTTTCTTGTGTTCTCAGTGTTTCCTTGGGATTCCTAAGGGACCTATTCAAATCCTTAGTCCAAGCGCACATCGTGTGTATTTTTGCTTAAAACATATATCCTGGATGTGTATATATGTGGGAGGATTTTTTGCTTGAAACATCTTTTCTGTATGTATGCGTGTGTGTATGGAGTATGTAGGTATAGTATATATATATGTATATACATATATATGGGGGGAGAGAGAGAGAGAATCAGAGAGAGAGGGAGTGAGAGAGGAAACTACACAACATACAATATTTCATTTT